CAGTGTGCCCGTCGTGCGTGACGTCACGCACCGCTGTTCAAGCGGCAAACTGCTAAATGGTTGTCAATTCACATAAATTTTTAATGACAAAAAGACGGAAGAAATTTCTCTGTTGCTGGAAGTATCACAGCGGTGAGTACGCTTGTGAGCTATTTAAATGTAAGATCTCGCTTGTAAACGGTATATTGATATCGAGAAGTTTGTTTACAAGTCTATTCAAGTCTTGTTTTCGTTGCGACTTTTGTGGTTCATCGATCGCGTCACCGTCATTATTTGTTCGCTTTGTTTGCAGCGGTTTATTTGAAAGTTACACGCCATTGAATTTGCCTTCTCTGGGAATTGCTTATTCTTCTCGTTCAAACTGTATCGAAGATTGAAAAAGGTCTGAGATTTAGCTTCGTCAGTCGGTAAGTGGTTTCAATATCAGCTTTGTATCGATCAGTTGATGAAGCCGGGATATCGAGTTTCGATCCTCGTGTTAAATTCTTCTCGGCCGTTTGATTACGCGTAAGCTTTAATTTATTTTAGTGAATTCTCAAAAACATGTAGCTAAAGAAAGAACTTATTTAGAAACTGTTCCAGTGTGTGGATGTTTTATTTTCTTTCCCGTAGTATCAACAAGGTCCTTCTTATTCGTACAAAACCAATACTGTAAAGTTTGTTTGCTAATATTGCTTTGTTTTTGTGGTTACCATGCCGAAGTAAGCACTTAACGTCGATTTTTCACTGTGATCTGTAGTGTTTCTCAATGATTAAGGCCTTCCTCTAAATAATATGCGTGTGGTTGTCTAGCCGAGGCCATGTTTCATCCTTCCTTTCCTGTAAATTCATCCCTTGTTCTTCAATTGCTGTCGTTTGAAGTGTTTTGTAAGCTCTGCCTGCTGTTGTGAAAATAAAAGGTCATGTTTTTCCTGTGGTGAGCGTGTGGTTCCGTGAAAGAAGCTTGTACGAAATTTAAAAGAGCATCACTTCGCCACAACACATGTTAAGCTGTAGAATTAAGTTTAAGCATCATTTTTCTAAAACTGGCTTGAAAACGATATTTTGTTGGAAAGTAGAACTAAGCTTTTATAAGCATGTTTGATTATTTCCGCATTGACATGGAGTGCGCAGACGGTAAGGTTAATTACGAATTCACTGCGTGTTTTCATTGTTAAACTCTCCATTAAACCTCTGTTAGTCAAAATTCTGGACATGGCCAAAAACATTTGAAGTAAAACGTTTTGGATTAAAAGATCATTGTGGCATTTATGATTTTACAGAATTAAATGTACCTGATCGGTTTTTTATTTTTTTAAAAAATGAAAAACGTGCTTTTAGTCAATTCTTAATTTTGAAAAGGGTATAGCTGCTCAGCATGCAATCAAATATCTGTGCTGGCAATAAAACAATTTATGCAGCACGACAGGCTAGATGGTACATGTTACGTCGTCTGTTGTGTTCTGTGCAACTAATGATAATGATCTGTTAATGTTTTCTTAAAAAAATTAACTGTCAACATAAATCACATAAGTTAATT